TCATTTTCCAATATTCACTGAGGGTCCCAAATCCAGAATTTTTGAACTTTTTCCGTTTATTTTGTAGATGAGTTTTATGTATAAAGTCTAATTTTCACTGAAGTTTTCTGTACGGGTATCTGAAGTTAGCCTCATGCTACTGCTGTGAACAGGTCTGTGTAGCGCACCACATGACAGACGAAAGATGCAAATATACTGACAGTTAGGATTCGAAGAGAAATTTTGTGAAAATCTATGCTCCTGTATGCAGTGTTCACCTATTAAGTGAACTGGGAAATGTCCAAAAATGCTGAAAACGGATGGATGACCTCACACGGAAAATAATGATGTAATTTAGCAAAAAGTAAGAGGAAATAAAACCTTGTGGGAAATAGATGATTAATGATCCCGCTAGTGTGTTGCATATGTTTCTAAACGACTTATCCTAATAAAATTAACCACAAATTTTAACTAACACGAGTTTTTCAAAAAATTCGAAAACAAATATAATATGGGGTTAGAATTTCCAAGTTTTGATACTAAAAAACTTAAAAAGTAAACACTAATTTTTATTGACACTTATCTTTGTTGATTATCTACACGCTCTTGCAAATAAAGACTTTGTTTGAAACTTCAGTGCCAGATTAAATATCTTACAATGTTTTCGAACATATACTTACATATGTTACAGAGTAAGATATTGCAGATTTGTTGTAATACTTTGAAATTTCAAAATAAATGTTCTACTTATACCGCAGTTCTCCAAGCATCTATGAAAAAAATAGTTTACTACTAGGGAGAAGTAATAAATGTGTGTGATTTTAGTTTGCCGTAATGAATTGTCAACAGGATTACCACTGTTTTTAGTCAACAGCTCTACTATGTTTGCAAGGGACAATTGTTCTATAAAGTTACAGTTGAACATAAAGTGTTTGTAACGCGATAATCAATATCATGTACTATGTACACTTCTATCAAAACTTCTATGTTAACGCATATACAAGTTCGATCTGTCAACATTAAGAAATAAATTTATAGACAGTAAATGTGTTATTTCAAAAAAGTAATAAATATTTCCGGCTGACATATGGAATATTTCCTAGATAACTTCGAACATTACAGTAGGTATGATGAATTTAGTAGATTAGTAAGAAAGTTTCATACAAATAGCTTTTGAAATAATGACCATTATTAAGACTGGTATCTAATGTATTCATGTTATGAGTTGGAACAAAGATTTTTTTAACAAAATGTGAATATATAACTTTATGTTTCACTTCCTTTAAATTGAAAATTTATTCGACGTAATTAGTTTACTTTAATTCTCTAAAAGTAACCTCGTTATATCATTTTTATATTCTATATTATAACCTGTGTTCCTAATTAGTTAACGAGAATTTACTTGATATTCGATCTGTATTCATTATTATTATTAATTCACGTGAAGTTCATTCCTAAGGTCATTTCTACAAGTTAAAACAATCCAGTCTAGTTTAAGCTAAATGAAATAGACTAATTTAATTGTTAGCTAATCATTGACCAATCAAACAACGTCATTCATAATTTTTTTTTAGTTATAGCGATTAGAAGAAACAAGTTCCCATAGACAAAAATATTTCTCCAAATCTCCTATACAAGAGATAAGTGAACAAATAAAAAACACAACTAATAAACTAGATAACTCGATATCCCACAGACATCTGTGAATAAACGCCCAAGTTGATTTTGTGTTAAGTATACATCTATTCTGAAAAAGGTTAAAATAGTTTCACAAAGAATTAGATACAGGTGAAAGTATTGATGGTTAGCCAAAGTTTAGTTTTACACAATCGACATATAACTGAAAAATAAAAAATAAAAAAAAAGAATAAATTTTTCTTCATCTTGATATTCTTTGAATAAATTTAGTTGACTTTGCTTAGAAGGGAAAATGATAATAATTGTGTGGGGTATCAAAAGGATAATTAACAGATTCTCATTCAAAATGATTTCCGAATACAACAGATTTTTAGCTAGTTTTTTTCATGAATTAAAAAAGAAACATTGAATCCACACATTAATTTCTAAACTTATAAATAACATTTTCCAATCGCATCGAGTTGGTGTTTCGGAAGTTTACTTTCTTTACTATTTCCACATAGAAAAGGATCACAAAAATATGTATTCGATAAGCTAACACACATTGATATTTTACAGAAAAGCAACCGTTGAAATTGAAAACATTTGGAATTTTTAAAATCCAATAACAAGATATGGTTTTGCGCAGACGACTGAACCACATGTTATCGTTTATTTTTAAGAAGAATAGAGAAGTAAATAAATCTGTAATCAATCTAAAAAATAGAGAAATAAAAATGGAAATATGATTGTTGTTAATAGATGCTGGTGTTTTCACTTGTTCAATGATTTAGTTTAATGAAAATGTGTATTGTTCTGATTGGGAAATAGTTATCAGTGAAAGCTTACAGTATTCTTGAACAAGCAGTTGAAAAACTTGTTAGGCTTCATTAAAATGTTGAATAAGTTATTTTGAATCATTTAGTTTAGCATGACTTTTAGAATTTTTATCTGTTCGCTTCATTTCATTCTGTCTTTGAGTGGACAATGCATTTCAGTCTTGCAATAAACTCTTAGAGTGAACCGTTTCATGTTCTTTAGCTCATCGTAGATACTGTTAGTGAATTCAACGAAAAACAATTAGTATTTTTATCATTATGTCAATGAGTCGTAATTTTGTCAAATAAGAAATAATTTTATAGTGTAGTAGAAGTAGAGGTGGTGTAGAAGTGGTGAAACTTCATCAGTTGAGGTGGTTGGGAAATGTGTTACGTATGCCAAACCAAAACATGGCAGAAATCCATGAAGTCATTGACGAGTGGACTTAGCCATGTCAGTAATTGTCGACTACCTGGTTGGGGTCCGCGAGATGATAATAATCGATTTTCAGAGACCTTTGATGACGTGGCTCAAAACCGTTTGCAATGGAGCAGGTGCATTCATTCTATGTGTCCTCTCGAACCCTAAACTTTTTATTCTTCATCATTTTAAATCTATTTCACTGGCTTATACTTCTTGAATAATATCTTCGAATTCTAATCTTCTCCATTACCAGTATTACGTCTACTACCTCCAATTCTATTGGATTTGAACTGACAATGACATCTCTGTGCTGATATGGTATGGCAACATGAACTGATGTACGTACGTACGAAGTTCTACGTTGCTATTGATTGATTGGTTGGAGTCTAGTAGAAAATTGTAACCACTCATGTTGTTGTATGCTTTGGGTTCTACGGTTTTTCTGCGAAGCTGTCGTTATCATCCTAGACTTCATCAACGATTATTTTTAGTAACTCTAACGTAGGTTCTCGTTTCTCCAAGAGTAGTTCCTGTTAAAGATAATTCTTGACATAATTAATATTTCTCATTATCTGTATTCTATAACACTTTTCAATACATGGCAAACAGTAACTGGAAACAGCTTCCGTCATAGATTGATATCTCTTGGAGAACTAATGAAAACCACTGTGTTACAAACTAAAGTTTAGTCACAGCTTGTAGTTCTTCAGTAATTTTAACCAAGGATGTAAGGGCTTTTGGATAATGCGGTAAGAAAAATATTTACTTGCCACATTGCAGTTGATACTTATTCTTCAAAATTAAATGGCCCAGATTTTCATTTGGCTAAAGGTTTCTTGTGAGACCATCCGTGCTCACTAATTTTAAGTGGTGAGTTCGAAACTATACTAAAACAGATATTTCACATTCCTCAGTTTTCATTGGTACTCTAACTGATGATAGATGACGAGTACTGACAGAAAGATTCATTTTCCTGAATATCTTTATTGTCTGTGGCGAAAGCTGTGAATGTAACCTATTTTCTATTTGGCAAGTGAATATGTTACAAATATTCTTAGAAACACTTATTTGATTTAAAGTGACTATGCAAACTGATGTATTGGAAACAGAATTTTTTATTTGTAGGATAATAGCAGATTCTAAGACATATAATACTTCTGGTTTGATACAATATACAATAAATGAACGAATTTCATTTATATTTGATTAAACTACCTTATCCATTCCTGGTATTTCTTAACGTATTACATGAATCCCAATTATGTCTGTTTGTGCTAAATGTTTTATATAGATGTGCGTCATTTCTTAAATAGAATAACTCGATATCTGTTCATAGTAAGCATTTTTAAATCAATAATTTCAGTCTACTCCGTTACATTGTTCACATCGATTCAAGAAATCAGCATAATTTATACAACCTTAGTTAATGGTAACAAGATTATTGATCCTTGATCAAATGTAAGTATTATTAACATTTGAACAGAAGTAAATAAAAAACATAGTTGTTGGGGACGTTAGATCTCCAAACTCACTAGGAAAAGTTCCTCATTTTAATGTTTATTTCTAAAATTTTGAATTTGCGTGTTTGCGAGCCAAAGACGCTAATTTGACTTTCAGCTTAGATTTCCCACTCAGAAAATCCTTGGTAGATGGATTATTT